TAAATACAATCGTTTTTTATAATTTTATTAGGTTTATTTCCTTTCCTTTTTTAACAACCTAAAATCTTATCGAACGCTTCTAACGTTTTGTAAACTAAATGCGATTTAAATGAACAATAACACTGTAATCAATGATACCCTATTATAGAACCCAAACACTACACATTTTTTCATCAAATTGTTTTCGATCGGTTTGAATTTCCTTTATGATCTCATATTTATTGAATAATAACAACTAGTTCTCTTTTCGTTATCGAACACATTGTCTTTTAGCACTATACAAACGGAAACGAACCTGCAAGTTAGTCATTCAAAATCGACACGTGTTCGTCAATCCATATTTTTATTCTATTCTTGTATCCAGTCACCAACGATATCATTTCTTCGAAACATTCAAAATAAATACGATATTATCAACGATTTTTTCTTCGCATTCCATTTCTTTGCAATCCCCTTGAAAAATAATTCAAATTAAACAAACACAAAAGAGTCTGGAGATGGTATAGTTGAACGATTCGTTTTTCTTCGCTTCTTCATGGAGTAATTTTGAAGAAATTCTTTGGCAGTTTGGCTGGACGAAAACACCTGAAAATTTCAAAGAAGGCGATGGCGGTTTTTAGAGTTCACTTGCACTCTCCTTCCCTTATTGTTGAAGGTTGAATAAGTGCGTGCCAAGGCAGGTAAGTCCTTTACCGATGGATGTTAGCCCTTACCACCTGCCCTACACACAACGTTTTCAACGTCTAATAAGACGTTTGTTTAACAAAAACAAACCATAAGAAATGTAAACAAAGAAAAGAAAAGAAATACGAATTGTTAGGGAAAAACCATCTTTTTTATCTTAAATAAAATATCAAATTGAGAAGAATAAATTATACTGGTTGTAGTTTTTTTACTTCGACTATTTATTAAGGAATCCTCATAATAAGTTTCGTAATGTCTTTGTTGCTTTTCAAAGGGTTGTGCATTTATAGTTGGTAAATTTAAAGTAGCTTTGTTCTTATCTAATTAGAAAAGAAACAATTATGTGCTAAATTCGTATAGATAAAAATTGCAGCGATTACAATTTTGTTGATCTAAATTTCTTAACCAGATAACATTTATTTAAACTTTACGCTTTTTCCACTCCAATGCCTTCGCACAAAGAATTCTGACATTTACGATTTCCCCATACCCCACCGTTTTTGTTTGTTGTCTTTTGAAAAAGTATTTTCCGTTCAGTATTGCAAGGTGTTTGAATTTCTATTTGTTTCAGCTCATACCCGCTGACTGTCGTGGAGAATTGACAGCTTTTGAGTCTCACTATCTCCATCCCAATATCTATTCGAGATAAAAAGACGTAGCCAGGCGCAAAGAAACACTATCGCCGCCTAAAATCTTAAATTTTTTTTCTTCTTCTTCGTCTACGTTGTTTGTTTGTCGTGGAGTTATTTGGGGATTTGAAACGATACCGATCACAGGACCAACAACAAAGAGGCAAAACGTCGTCGGTGTCGTTGTTGTTCTTGCGGTATGTACAATGGACAAGTACAATGAGGTGAAGAGATTATTTTGTGTTTGGGTTGACCTATTTGGAAAGAACAAATTTCTAGGAATTATTAAAAAGTGTTTCATAACTGATAATTCTATCATATCCAAACTAATGTATCTAACATTTTATAAAATTATCTGTTAATTTTATTACAAATAGAACTTTACCGCAAATATTTTTCAAATAAAATTACAAACTCGTTATCTTTAGCAGGAAATCACTACTTAATTAACGATTGCGACATGGATATAAACACGTTGTATTGCGAAAACATTAAGAAAGGGAATGGCTATCTTCTTTATATCAAGTGCTTCCCTATTTGCTCTTCAAGTTAAATATTCTGAAGTGCGTAGTTTCCCATATCTATTGCGTTCTTTAAATAACACCGATTAGGAAAAAATTTTTGAAGAAAAATAGATGTGATTCAAATTTCGTTTCATTATCAACTTTGGGTGTTATTGCGCACACCTGAACCTACCAAAATACCAACTGCGGTGACCTAAGAACTATTGACGTCAAGAAATTCAAATAACGATATCATTTCTAAGAAGTCGTAAACCTCCTCGTCGCTATCAATTAACATTCATCGTTTGCAATGAATCGTATTGTTATTGCAGAGGTATTTTTTATGAAAGAACAGATATTAGCAAAAACATCTGCTTGACAGCTCATACTTTTATGAACGGTTGATTCATCATAACAAAGAAAAAAACATCCTTATACATTCACTTTTATATTTAAACTATTAATAAATATTATTTTCCTAACGAATTAAATCTTAATTGTTTTTTTTTTAATTTCAACAAATGAATTAAGGCGGAAACAACTGCCGTCTACTCTAAAAACAAAAGAAGGTGGATAGCACGCGCCGCCGCCGTCTGAAATAGAGCCACCCCTACGCGTTCTTAAAACGAAGCACGTGCAAAACATTAGGGACGGTGTTTGTGAGGGTGGAGAAAAGCAGGGGTTCTAAAACAAAAATAAAAACACAATCTTAAAATCTAAATGATATAATCTAAATTGTTTTAAATTACTGATTTAAGATTAAGCGTTCAATAATTTTTTTAGAGTTAAAGAAATATAAACTAAGGTTGAGTTTAAAGGTGATTTCGTTTAGGGTTTCCGGGAACCTTTAAATATTGGCAGAGTCATCGGGTCTCAAGTGGCACGTCGTATTTGTTTTCTTCTCGTAAAGACCCCTAAAAGATAAGGTGCAAATTCTCCCCGGTTTATCGTAAAGGAGAGATAAAAATAGATTGGTTTAAGTAAAATTGGAGGGAAATTCTCGATTTAAATATAACGGTTTCTTTCTATCGACAAAGTAAACATTGATAAATGACTCAAAGAGAAATTTCACAATATGGATTTTGGAGTGATGTAATTTTCGATATTAAGATTCTTGTAATAAATTTCTCGTATTGAATTGCATTTATGCGTGTATGAATAAATGAAAATAATAATATGCTGTTCTTGAAATGGCAAATACCTCAGCAACACCTCTTAGTAACTGATTACATTCTTTAAATGCTTTGTAAAAAGTGCTTTTTTTATAATTGATCTTGGAATAATTTTGTTATTTTAGTTTTAATGGTGTTCTTGAACCACATAGATGATTTCCGCGATACCGTAATTTACTTCTAGAAACTTTAAAGTTCACCATTGAGAAATCTTTCGCGCGAGCCTTTGAGATTTACGCCATTGAATAGGCCTCGACCGGGGAAAATGTTCTAATTAAACGCACTAATTGAAAGGTCAAGTTAGCTGCGTGAAGCCGATAGATATCTTGCAAAGATTTTTCCCTTATTTTTTTATTTCGACTTTTATGCAATTCAATTTTATGATCTCTTTATTCAAAACACATTCTTTTTTATTTTACTCATTTAAGAATTACCTTTAACAATGTATTATGACCTCTCATAATTTTCGATAGTCTGACACTTCCGACTCGGTTCTATCTCTATAACCCAAGTCCGTTACAAACTTTACCAAAGTCATAACTCAACGCATTCCTGTAGAAACAGAGTGGACGGGAGTGTATGCAATATATCAATTGGCTTGGTGCTTACAATGGTATTCTAAGACGATGGAAACTTCGCGTGAAGTCACAAAAAAGTTTTCACTCAATGTTGTAGTAACTATTGGTAATTAAATTTGACGTTAAGTTATAAAGGGAAACTTAAGGTTGCTTAAGATTTATTTATTGTTTCTCCGTTCATTTAGTAGTTAGTAAAATTATTATTGTTATCAACAATTACTTTTTATTCTGAATTATTTTTTTTCGTAATCTTTGTTAAAAATCCTTTAAAATGAACCCAAACACGATGATGTTATCTTTAAAAACAACCAAGATATGGTATTTTAAAAAATAGCGATCGTCAATTTTTTTTATTTTTTAAAATTAACTTTTAATTGTAACTCGGTTGTTTTTTGAAATAAACTAGTCGTGTTTGGACTCATTTTAAAAGATTTTTCATTTTCTATAAGATTTTCTAATCATGAAATTATTCTATCAACTTGGTGATTTAATAAAATAAAAATCCATATGAAAATTTCTGATAAAACCACTTATTATGGAGGTGTAGTAACAACTTATGGTGTACCACCATAAACTTAATAATCTGATTAAGTTCTTAATAAAGTTCTGATTCCGACTATGGTTTTCGATTTGTTCTAAATATTAAAGAAATATATCTAAGAAAGGATACCATCATAATACGTGTTTGTTTTTTTCTCTGGTCTGCCTTTCATTTATCCTTTACTGCACTTTTTTTGTGCCTATTTCCTTCCTTGTGGTAAATGACTGTCGATCCGTTACATAACTCAAATATGCTCATTCGCCCAGTTTTATTAACACATCATTTAGTATTACTTTTTTGGTAGCCATAATTTATTTATTTAAAATTACAAATATATAGACTGTTACCAGTTGGGTCTCTTGGAAGATATCGCTTATTGCGATAAATTGATCCGTTTGTCTTGATGTCTATATTTGTTATGAATGTATATACCTATGTAAATATTTGTTTTTGAGGAAATAAACAGTATTATTATTAATAGTTGCTGCAACATCGCTGACTTCATAGTTAATGTAGATATGGATAAGGAAGATAATACCTCATTTTTGAGTAAAAAGATATTCTACAGAGATATGAGAGCTAATCCATTAACATCGCAAATAAAGTCAGAATGAAGGTGGCTTTCTGGATTGCTTTTGAATTCAAAAAACATTGAATTAAAGGGAAAGAAGTAACAAGACAGGTGAGGGCAGAACGAAGATTGATCCTTAATTTTTGTTTCTGATCTCTTTTGCTGCAATCTGACATAACCGTTTGAAGGAAAAAGGAAGCAAAATCGAAATCAGAAAAAGCTGGGATATGTTTGACTCTTGATTTTTCTGGGTAAATATGTAATATAGTAGTCTCATTGAAGAAGTAAAAATTGCTAAGGCTGCTAAAAAAAAAGTCCAAGAATGCACTGGCTCTTAAAGCATTATGATGTGTTATCTGTTCAGGGGGTAGAAAAACTGATAGTGCCTCTTAACAATAATTTAGTTGATGTAATATATTACGTCCATGACGACGAGTTGTTTAACATTCTTCAAGAACTACACACATCCACAGGTATGTTCTGTAATTGGAGTCATATATGGAGTAGGTAATAATAAAATCACTTTTTACTTGCAGGTCATGGTGGTAGAGATCGCATGATGAAAAAAACAAAGGAAAAATACAAGAATATAGTGCGTACTGAAATTTTATTGTTTATTAACTTGTGCGCTCCATGTCAAATGAAACAAAAAAGGGAAAAGAAGGGAATTATATCAAAACCGATGGTCTTCAATGATCTGAATTCAAGATGTCAAGTAGACTTAATCGATTATCAGTCGCATGCTGATGGTAAATACAGATTTGTCCTGGTGTACCAGGATCACTTAACAAAATTTGTTATTCTGCGACCACTTGAAAGTAAACGCGCAGAAGAAGTCGCTTACCACCTTGTAGACATCTTTACCACTTTTGGGGCTCCTGTAGTTTTGCAATCTGACAATGGACGCGAATTTTGCAATAGAATTATTGAAGAATTAAAAAGTTTGTGGCCTGAACTAAAACTGGTCCATGGAAAACCGCGTCACAGTCAAAGTCAGGGTAGCGTCGAACGCGCTAATCAAGACGTGGAGAACATGTTAACAACTTGGATGTTGGAAAACGAAACAGAGCATTGGAGTCAAGGTCTACGATTCATACAATTTATGAAGAACACATCTTTGCACTCTGGAATAAAAAGGGCTCCATATGAGGCCATGTTCGGGGACAAACCGAAAATTGGATTAAAAACTTCTAATATTCCATTAGAAGCAATGGATAGCGTAACAACCGAAGAAGATCTGGAAAATGTGATTAATTCTATTCTGATTGAAAACACAGAAACCGTTCAACTGGAAACAGAGCAACCAGCGCTGGAAGGTGTTGTACCAAACAGCAACGACCGAAAATGTACCACTAGAAAATAACAATAACACTCAAACAGTCTCGTATGAAATATGCGGTAGTTGTTTCAATCCCACTAATCGTGATGCCTCACATGCTTAGAGCACGTCCTTGGAAAATATTTGCAATTTTTGCAATAGAAACAGAAACATAGCAAATGCCAGAAAGGGCGCTTATGATGGATTACAAGCACAGGCAAAACGAATGAAATTAATATCAGATAGCACCCATCCAAAACCACAGATTGGATCAACTGTGAGGATTCCTGTTCCAGATGTCGATCGTGGCAGGGGAGATGCTCGGTCAGTTTTAGCGGTAGAGTTAGAAGCTACAGAAGATGGTTTTTACCGCTTGGGTACAAAACTAGGAGTCATTTCAAAATACTACAGTCGTTCAGAATTTAGTATATGTGCTGCTAACATTTTGAAAATTGAAGAAATCACCAAATATAAGGAAGTTTCCCTTAGATCGGTGGCTACAAGTCAATCTACTGGGCATGGGCAAGGTTTCAAAAAATGTTACTGTAAGACTAAATGTCAGTCAAACAAATGTGCTTGTCGAAAAAATAATGTATTATGTAACTCAAAAATGTCACAATAGTCTAACTTGTACAAATAAATAAAAAATGCATTTTTTTCTTTGTTTAAAATATTACAGTAATATGTATATCGTCTATTTGCAGATGGACCGTTTATAAATAGACTAGTCCTTTTTCAAACCGACTAGTCCGTTTATTAAAAAATAAGCTTCTTACACATATAGACTAATAATTTCAGTCCATTTACATATGGACTAGTCCTTTTGTATACGGTCTTGTTTACATATATGGTCTGTAACATATACATATATCAGAAATCCTAGTGTCTAAACTTAAAACCGGGCTGATATGTTTTGTGTGAACTTGTGATGTCTATCCAACCTAACACAATGCAACTTACAACAACTCAACGCAACCTAAGGCACCCCAACGCAACCCAAAGCGAGCTAACACTTGTGATATCTACCCAACCCAACGCAATTCAATGCAACCCAACCCAACGCAACCTAATGAAGTAATGGTCGTGCAAAATGAAAAATGCAGCTGAAAAATTTGGTAGCTGCCATAAATCACGGCTAAGATAGTGTCATGGTTTGGGAAGCTATACTAACATCCAGCGTGGAAAAAACAGGACACATTATAGATCGATTACGGATTAACATGGAAATGTTGATAGTTCTGTATTCTTGAATTGATGATATTCTTGCAAAAAATCTCATTTGTTTTCTATCCAACCTTGATTGAGTCAAACAACACGATAAATTACTTAAGATTATATCTTGTAAATTAATTTAATGATTGTTGCTGGGTAATTATGATTCGATAAATAAAAACTATATCAAAATAAAACTATATTCGTTGCTTTTCACAAATACAACTTATATCTCAGTGAACCACATAAACTAACTGTATTCTTATAGACATAACTACATAGTTACATAGTACGTTGTTTGTATGGGTTCGGTGGCGGGGTGAGCGACGAAGTAAGAACACCCGATACCGTTTCAGAAAGAAACCCAGCCAGAGAGACGGAAAAAAAGAAATATCGTTGGAAAGAGAAAAGCGAGCACGTTAATTCGAGGCGCACACGCGGGTCTCAAACAGCCAGAGAAGTCGATCACATTGTTTTCTAATGGTGTGTACCGCGAGTAGGTGTGGCAGCCAGTAGGTCCGGTGCTCAACAGTTCTCTCTCTGGTTGATACTCTCTCGTGCGCGCTATTAAATCGAGGGAGTCGTTACATAATACCAACGGCTAACGGTAGTTTTCTAATATACATGTTCGCTGTCCGGTCCTCGGACAATTTACATTAACATTTGTAAATTGCGCTATATATTAACGAACGCACTGGCAAAACATTAACGTTATCCAACTGTATCTTTTCCATAAAACTATTGTGTTTGTTGTTACTTCCAAAGTTAATATAGCATATTATATTCTTTGTTTAATCAAAGATATCTATATAGTAAAAGATTTTCAGTGTTATTTATAATCTCGTAATTTAAGTTGATGAAAAAATAAATGATGAAGTCTGAGTCCATTACTGTATTTCTTGGAAGTTTCGTGGTCAATCAGTCTTTGCGCGGCCCACTTCTTGTATGGAAATCCTTGAACGGCGCCACGAGTTGCTCTTTCTGGCCGCGGTCGCGATACAACAATAATAATCGATTCAACCAGAACCCGACAATGAGGGTATTGTCTTACGTTTTGTGAGAGACTCGTGGCGCTACCCGCTAATGCTAAACGCGCTAACATCGCTTGGCGCGCGCATTAATTGCTTTTTATTGCCAAATAGGCTATGAATTATTCAACGACACATTAGCTCCGAGTCAGTTCTTTTATTCATTATCTATCTCTCCTCTTACATTTCGAATAAAGGATTGAGGCAAAAAAAATTTACTGTAATTTTTTAATAAATGTTTAATAGTCGATTTTTAGATTACAACAGGTGAACTGTGGGAAACTGTTATGTACTTCGCAAACTCTCGGCATCGATCTTCTGCGGAACGTGTAATTTATGGCCCGCGCATGAAGCGATAGATCTTATAGCCGATAGACACTATCATGGTAATTTAAGGCAATTTATTAATACCTTCTGTCTCCTCGAAGGTAGTCACGATTTCGCACCAACAAAAAAAAAATATTACCTAAGCGTAGGTACATTACACTATTTTTTGCACACATAAATTCTTCCTAATCCCCGACCAGCAATCCCTTTTAACCGTACCGTTAATTCCTTAAATATTTAGATGTCACAATTTCACACAGCTTAACCTAGAAATTATACAGGAATCGCTATAATAAGCACGCGGGACCGAAGGGAATCCATTCTTTCATGACCTAGAAAAAAACTATTTAATAAAAAGGGTTACAGATCTACATTTTTTTAATAAAGGGGCTGTGGTGCCGACCACGAGTACTTCACCCAGGTACCGCGCATTAATTATTTCAAGGAGCCGATTGAATAATAATGAATTGAAATTTAAAAAATGGTTACACGTCTCCTGCTGAGATTTCAAAATAGGTTCAGTGAAAAAGCCTTTTTTTTAAGTATGGGTACAGGTAAGTTATGTTGAGTTGGTTAAATAAATTATTTATAAGGATGTGAAGAGGTCTTCATAAAAGACTTCTGAATTCGTTTTTGGAATGATTTTACTAATTTTTATGCAAACGCTGATTCTTGGTTTACTTCTGCTACACGCTTACTCAACTCTATAATATGTATAATAAGATAATATACAGATAATTCATCATGGTTATTCTGTCCATTTTGTCTAAGTCTTCTTTAGCCATAGAATTCATTGCTGCAAATCTTAGAAGATCCTAAAATACAGCAGACTCGGAGCTTAAAACGTTGTATCTCAAAAACTAAAAGAGATATTTCAAAACGGACGTGTTTAATGAAAAGTAGATACTTTTGTTGATGATTGATCAACATTTTGTATTAATTTTCCAAGAAATCGATTTTTAACAAATTTTTAAAATGAATTGAAGAAATTGTATAAATTACTTCAAATTTTTATTGAGCTTAAAACGTTGTATCTCAAAAACTAAAAGAGATATTTCAAAACGGACGTGTTTAATGAAAAGTAGATACTTTTGTTGATGATTGATCAACATTTTGTATTAATTTTCCAAGAAATCGATTTTTAACAAATTTTTCAAATGAATTGAAGAAATTGTATAAATTACTTCAAATTTTTATTCAGCTTAAAACGTTGTATCTCAAAAACTAAAAGAGATATTTCAAAACGGACGTGTTTAATGAAAAGTAGATACTTTTGTTGATGATTGATCAACATTTTATATTAATTTTCCAAGAAATCGATTTTTAACAAATTTTTAAAATGAATTGAAGAAATCGTATAAATTACTTCAAATTTTTATTGAGCTTAAAACGTTGTATCTTAAAAATTAAAAGTGATTTTTCAAAACGGTCTTGCTTAATGGAAAGCAGACACTTTTATTGATGATTGATCAACATTTTGCATCTTTATATGAAGGCCAAGCTACTTAATAACTTGCGTTGTCTAATCCGTAAGTTGTCAAAATCCTATTAAACCAAACCGAGTTAAAGCAGAAACAGCTAAAGCCAAACATGTTACAAAGTTAGTTGTAAAACGTGAACATCAAAAACAACAATCTTCTGGATGGGCAGAAAATCTCAGAGAATTCTAATTTGTATGTATTGATTTTGGATGATTTATAATAAAGATGTTTAAAATAAGAAATTCAATAAGTAGAAATATTTTTTTGTTTAAACTTTTTTAGTTTCAAAAAATCAGAGTTCAAAGACCACTTATACATAATTCCATATTAACATCCTCTATATTTATGAAGCTGTACACACACATCCTCCTCTTTGTCCTTAATAAAACCAGAGGCAGCGGTCCTCAATGGCTCACTGTCCTGTTATGAGAGCGTATCCGCTCTAATAACCGCCTTAAAAACGTGCAACGACGACGACGACGGCGAGCAACAAAAAAATTACTTAAAAAGTTGAATATGATTAAAAAACGAAGGAACCACCTGAACCGCCGCCGCTTTGTCCATTCATCCCAACTCTTTTTTCCAACAAACACTTCTTCTTCATCCCGTTGCCGTTCGTTCACATTTTGCTTTAGTCTGGATGCGAGATCACGCTTCTCGTAACTTTTGAACGATGCCGACGAATGCAAAGAGTCCCAAAACGTGATTACAACTAAGAAGCCGATTAATAATAATGCCCGTATCTCTCTGTTTGCATATGGAGTAAAAAAGGTGATGGTGAGAAAGAAAGTACGAAAAGAATTCTCACGTAAGAAATGTATGATGATTTATAATGATTGAGTGGGAGTCGATCGATATTTACTCTATGGATTTAGAAAGGTATTTAAAAAATATCGAACTAAATAGAGACATAATTCTCACGTAAGATTTGTTGAACACGTTCAAACATGTTAACTATCGAGTAAATCGTAATTACGTTGAAGGCATGTTTTAGAAA